ATGGACTGCATATGTCATGCAGTAGACCTACATTTTAGTCTTCCGACGGATTGCATAATTTTTGCAATCACGTGGAATTTTAAAGAAAAAGTCAAGCCGCATTCCTTCAAAAAGTACAGCTGTTACCATCCATTGATTTTGTTTTGTTCATCGGTATTTTGGAGACATGCCGTACATTCGAGGTGCAAGCTCGGGAATTTTCACTACTCTTAGTTATTGTGAATAAGGTAATCATTTTTTAATTGTTGTAGTACTCTCATCCTGTCGAATTATCTGGCAAAGGTTGTGGCGAACCCACTTTGACCCGCTCGGCATTTATTTTGCAATTATCATTTTTAACACACGCAGAATGGATTTGTTTAAAACCGATCATTCCCGAGGTATTGCCAAGCGAGCCGAAGGCGAGTTCGGCCCATGTCTAGGCAAATTATAGGTTCAGCTTAACAAAAGTCGCCCTATAGTAAAACTAATCTGCCAAAGGTTGTATCGAACTCGGCTTCCACAAGTTTTCCGAATAATTGATTTGTGAACAGTGTAATTGCGCTACTCACATTGTTTTAAAGCATAATCGACGTAAGAGAATGTCGGCGAGTTGTTGTAAAGTTGTACGAGTGCGCTAGAAATTGAATGATAAATTGTGATCTTTATTTCTAATTAGAAAATTAGTTAAGTAATTACGTGTTCACGCCTCGAGTTTATAAGAAAAAACCTTTCAGGTGGAATAGGATTAAAGGGTTATATTTTCAAGCTTCAAAAACCCAGGGTTTACAAACCACCTATGCACGCCATTTGTAGATTACACCGGCGCCTCAAGTGATAATCTGGATCGCGAATTGAGTAGCATGTATGGCACCTCGTATGGCACAATATGATTCTTTAATGTGTCTTTTAAATTTTAGTGCCGTGCGAATTGTAATTCACATATAACGGATCACATTCGATTTCCAGTAGGGGAATTTTGTGACACTTGTCTCGCATTCGGAAACACGACTTTTAATCCGGTTCATATTCTTGAACTCGTTGAAATTGATACGCCGGCTCTGTTCCTTCTCGGACGAGGAACAGACGGACAGACGGATTTTTTTTCGAAAAATACCCCTAAACACGAACTTATTGGATCGTATGAACCCCACCCCATCCCCACACTGCTCCAAGAGGACAAATTTGATGGTAAAGTTTCAATCACTTTTTAAAAACCGTATATGGGATATGGGGGGGGGGGGCCAGATGTCAGCTTAAAATTAATTTTCAAAAATCCTATACGTGATCGATGTTTGAAAAAATCATTTTCCACCTTTCCAAGAGGGGGGGGGGTACATTTTAAGCTGTGAAATGGCGTGCGGTACGGTCTTGTCCAAATCACTGTAGAATCACTACATGTATTTTAATTTTTCAGAGTTAGATTTGTAAATTTTTTTAGAAATTTCTTAAATTTCTAAGAATTTTTTTCTTTTCGAACGCACATGCACACAATTATTTTATACACTTTTTAAAATATTGAATTTCTTATAATCGTTAGAATGTTGTAGAATTGTTTAGAATCTTTTTCCGAACGCACATGCGCACAATTATTTGATATAGGTTTTAAACATTTCTAGAATTTTTTAGAATATTTTAAACTCTGAGAATTCAGTGTGCACAAAATTGGAAGTCGTTTACCCCAAGGAGAAGATCACTGTAGAATTTTGGTGTACACTACTAGTCTTTTGAATTTTTTAAAAATATTCGAACATTTTTTTAGAATTTTTTAGAACACAATTACTTTATACAATATTTAGACTTTTCTAGAATTATGTATCTCGTTTTTACAATTGTTAATATTTTTTAGAATCTCTTTTAGTATACACAAAATTTGAAGTTTTGTTTTTTGCATGTTTACACCTGATAGGTTGTTTCTATTATTTTTAGAATTTTTACCGAACGCAAATGCGCACACCATTATCATTTTGTACAATGTTTAGAATTTTCTAGAATTTCTTTTAGTATTTAAAACGTTTAAATTTTAGTGTTGGCAAAATATAAAGTGGTTTACCCTGAGGAGAAAATCACTGTTGAATGTTGGTGTACACTACTAGCATTTTGTAGAATTTTCTAGATTTTTGTAAAAAAAAATTTTTTTAATTTGCCAGAACTTGGAATTTTTTAGAACTATATATTTTTGTTTTCTTGAATTTTTTCAGAACTTCTCTTGAATTTCCTTAGAATTTTTACCGAACGCGCGTGCACACAATCATTTTATACAATTGTCAGAGTTTTCTAGAATTTTTTAGATTTAGAACTTTTAGAAATTCTTTTAAAATTGTAGTGTGCAAATTTGAAGTGGTTTATCCCGAAGAGAAAATCACTGTAGAATTTTGGTGTACACTACTAGCATTTTGTAGAATTTTTGGATTTTTTAGAATTATTTTAAGTTTTCAGAAATTAGAATTTTCTAAATTGTTAGATATTTTAGAAATTTGTTTGGATGTTACAGATTTTTTAGAATTTCTTTGAATTTTTTACACAATTATTTTATGCAATTTTTAGAATGTTCTAGAATTTGTTATCTCGTTTTTATAATTGTTGGAATTTCTTAGTGTTTGTATTTTTTCAAATATATGCTATCTTTTTAGATTCAAATATACAGGGTGCTTCATTAAAAAAAATGAGGTCAGGTTCGACAACTTTTTCAACTGAACCCGTATACTTATTTTTGAGCGCATTTCCAAAATAAAAAAAAATGCGCTATTGTGGCCACTTTGTCCGTCCGTCCGTCCGTCCGCTCGTTTTGCGACGCTACTAGTTCTTTATCTTAAGAGCTATTGTTCTACTTTTTTCGCTTTTTGGTTCGTTATGGTGTCGAGTCTTGTACCAAGGAAGGAATTTTTTCTGTACCGCTTACAAAAAAAGTTATTGTAAAAAAAACAAAAAACCGTTTTTTACATGTTCCATAATGTTACACTTTTGCCGTTTATTAACGATCCTAGAGATCGTTTATAATTTTGCATTGCTATCTGTCGTCTGCCTGTTGGTCTGTCCGTCTGTTCCTTTGTCTGTCTGTCCATCTACCTGTCCGTGTGAACGATAACTTTGTTTAGAAATGTTCGATCACTTTTACATCTCCGTTAGTTATGAACTGAATTGCATGAAATTCAATATGGGCATAGCTTTAGCCATATAATACGCAATGCCAAAAGTTGAATCGAATCGATTCAAAATTCACAGTGCCCTTTTCGCATCTCGACCATTTATAAACCGAATTGCAAACTTTTTTACTTATAAAAGTATTTGAATGAAATTTGATACATAGGCACTTGGAATAAAGGAAAATCAAACGCCAATTTCAAAATTTGGTTTTGCGCATGCGCAGTGCCAACTTTTTTATTTATGGAAGAATTTAAACGAAATTTGATACATAGGCACTTGGAATAAAGGAAAATCTAGCGCCAGTTTCAAAATTTTATTTTGCGCATGCGCAGTGCCAACTTTTTTATCTATGGAAGCATTTAAGTGAAATTTGATATTTAGGCGCTTGGAACAAAGGAAAATCTAACATTAGTTTCAAAATTTAGGTTTGCGCATGCGCAGTTCCAACTTTCTTATTTAGAAAAGCATTGAAATGAAATTCTTCTCATAAACTGACATTGAAGTAGCACGACAAAAATGGATTGCCCATGTGCAACGCTATCTTTCATATTTGTGGCCGGATTTTTACGATTTTAACAGAAGTTGCATCTTACAAATGGGAAATGAATGCAAGTGGAAATGCGCTTTATGTAAATCGTTTACGATTACTTTTTAACTTGTTTATCTTTATTTCTAATTAGAAAATCATAAGTTAATTGCGTGTTCACGTCCGAATTCGTAAGAAAAAACCTTTCAGGTGGAATAGGATTAAAGGGTTATATTTTCAATGTACAAAAATCCAATGTTTACAAACCACCTATGCACGCCATTTGTAAATTACACCGGCGCCTCATCTAGTGATAATCTGGATCGCGAATTGAGTAGCACCTATGGCACAATATGATTCTACAATGTGTAATTTAAATTTTAAAGGAACCATCAATGAATTATTTTGAAATTTTGTCAACGCCTTCTACATGAAATGTTTATTAAGTTAGAAAAAAACTTGTAGTAGGCGTTGACAAAATCTCAAAATAATGCATTGATGTTTCCTTTAAATGACATTGCTAATTGTGCCATACATCTTTGAATTTGTAATAAAAAACGCTACTGAATACATCAGTACCTATGTACTTTTTTCCGGTCCATATAAAATATAAAGTTGACGATGGTTTGTCAAAGACGAAAATCAGTGGACACCATCCTGTACTGTACAGCTTAAAAAGTGCCTTTAGGAATTCGTTTTTATTTTATTTTTTTAATTTTAGGTTAGGTTATGTTAGGTTAATCTCGGTTTTTTCGAATGTCTTCGGAACTGATCGGAATTCCCGAATTTTTAAAACATCATATTTTACTAAGCCCCAAAAATACTTATTTCTAATTTAACCGACCGTGTATCTCTTATGGTTTTCGATTTCACCATGCTCTTAATTCTTAACTTGCACACACTGTATATTAAGCTGTATATGCTCACGAAAGTTACTGATTTAGTAAGACTAAGAAACCTAGCGTAAGTCCCATCTGTGAGCAGGACATTTGGACGGGATGGCTGGGGCGCCGAAACCGGGAACTCGAGAACGGGTCTGCTAGTTTTAAAACATTTTTGGCAAATCCCATTGAATTACAAACTTCAGCCGCCATCTTGAATTTTGACTGATGTCTTGGGCCGAAGTTAATGGAGAATAATATGTTAAAATAGTAAATGCAAAAAGAATCTGATTCTGTCCAGCGTTATAATTTACCGCACTAACAAAAATCTGTGGACTTTCTCGCGAAAAATTCTCGCGCGGCGCGACGCGGTTGGTAAGCTAGTTGGAATGAAGTAGAGGAAGGGATGTGCCGAACGGGTCGAACGCGACCGAAGGTCCGAAGCCCGTCAACATCATCAGTAGCTAAACGAATTCGTGTCTCTTAGTTTGTTTACGTTTAGTTTAAAAATTTTTCTTTTTAATTTCTAGAAACATTGAAAATGCCTCAGTTAATTTAGTGCCTTTTAACAAACCCTCGATGGTTTCAAACGCGAAAATCGACGGATTATGAAATCTGCTTTTGTAAGACTGTACCCTTGGACTTTTAACTCAAAACGTTAACCTCAAAATTTCTGTCATTTGGTCATTTTCGTCAAGTCTTTCGGTTTGTTGTGACTGTGATAGTGAAAATTACGGTGTTTTAGTGATTTGGTGTGATTAACGGCATCTCTTCAAAATTTTCCGCGTGTGTAACTTACGGTTTTATGACCTACATATTTGCTTCACGTTCCAGTTTTCAAAGATACCTACACCTATTAAAATACCATTTCTGAAAGCGTTTAATGAATCAATTACTTAAATTCCGTCTAATAATATCCGAGGCTTGAAAATGCGCCATCACAAGAAAACTAAAGAAAGTGGCTTCTTTGAGGGAGACTCTTCGGATACTGATGTTAACATGGGCAAAGCCCTCAAACGTACCAAAGTTTTTACTAGATCATCTAGCGAGGTGAAAAGGAGAGTTCACGACCAGGATGTGGAGTATACGTCCGAGGAGCTCGAAACGCATATTCGACAGTCCGAATGGTGCAAGAGAGGTAAGTCCGCCGCACTAATAATTTCAAATACATACACTCCGGCCATATGGACACGCTTAAAATGCTAATTTAGTTGGTCAAGATCAAGACAAATTTCAATTACCTATTAAAAAGGTCACAGTTTAAGTGTGTCACGAACGTAAGGTACATTTTCATGACTTAATTAAGGCAAAATCGCTCCCCTGTGCTAAGTGAAAGTCTAAAGAACGAGATAAGACTTATCTATCACAAGTACGTGTGTTTATTTGGCCGGATGAAGGCGCTTTACATATTCTCGAGATCGAATTTTTGCTTGCGAGCCCAACGGAGAATGAATCAGCTGATCGGTGCCTCGTGGCAGTTGTTTGCAACATTGCACAGGATGATTCAGAATAATTCACCGCAATATTTTTCTAAATTGTTTGTTTATTCCCGATAAGTTTATGGTAATCGGTTTTTGTAAACATGAAGGGGGATTACTCAACATTTCTTCCATTGTTGCAATAAACAATTTAGACTCTCCGAGTCACGTGTGACATGCGCACCGAAAAATGGATTGTTGAAAGTATTCATTTAAACTAACGGGTGATCAAAAAAGAATTGACGTCGAGTCGCCTTTGGAAGTTCAAGTTAAATTAATATGATTTGCCATGAAAACAAAAATTCCAAAGGTGACTCGACAGCAACTGTATTTCTAAACATTTCCAAAAATGAAATTAGAGCAATTAGGACAATTATTGGAAAAGTATGGTAGAGGGGAAGGCCTCGAAAAATAATTTAAAAAAACTTAATTGATAGGAATATTCTCGGGAATATTCCAAAGTAGGGAATTCGAGGAGCGTTTCCGAGGGCTAAACCGCAAAGGGAAGTAGGTGTAGGAATTCCGGCTGTAGGTGAAGCTTTGGTGGGACTCGAGCGCACGGATTTATTTCTATGACTGGACGAGATGAACACGTTTTGTCCACGTGCTTTTATAAGGGTTACTTTATATGCCATTTAAATTTAAATTAAATTGAAGTTACGAAATAAAAAAACCTAACAAATGTATTGTTTTATTCGAAAAGTAGTAAACCCGCCGCACTCGCGCCGTTGGCTGAAGCGCATTTTTCTCGCGTGACTTTCGAAGCGTGTAATACCAATATTTGAGGGGGATTTCCGAGGGGATTTCACACGGCAAAGAAATTTCTAAGGGGAATGAAGAGGAAGAGTGCTAAATCAGAAACGAAAGGCGTAAATATGATTGATTACATTCGTAGACATCACGTTCAACAGCGGACCTGCACGAGTACCGTTTCGTTAAAAGACCGGCGTAAGCCACTGTGAAGTTGGCCACGATAGATTGCCGATTGGCCGAAGACATCTGACGAATGACAGTGCCGTGCCAATTGTAATTCACATATAACGGCTCACATTCGATTTCCAGTAGGGAAATTTTTTGATACTTGCCTCGTATTAGAAACACGACTTTTAATCCGGCTCACATTCTTGAACTCGTTGAAATTGATATGCCGGCTCTGTTCCTTCTCGAGTCGGACGAGGAACAGACGGACGAACGAATTTTTTTCGAAAAATACCCCTAAAAATGAACTTATTGGATCCGATGAACCCCACCCCACCCGGTCTTTTCTAAATCAGTGTAGAATTTTGGTGTAGGTACACTAAAGCATGTTAATTTTTCAGAATTAGACTTTCCTAAATTTTTAGAATTTATTTTTAAATTTTATACACACAAAATTGTGCACAAAATTGGAAGTAGTTTACTCCGATGAGAAAATCACTGTCGAATTTTGGTGTACACTCCCTCGCTCTAGCCTTTTGTATTTTTTTAAGATTTTCGAACATTTTTTTAGAATTTTTTATAACAATTACTTTATACAAACAATATTTAGACTTTTCTAGAATTTTTTATCTCGTTTCTACAATTGTTAAAATTTTTTAGAATTTCGCTTAGGATTTTAGTATACACAAAATTTGAAGTGGATTACCCCTTGTTTTTTGCATGTTTACACCTGATAGGTTGTTCCTATTATTTTTAGAATTTTTTTCGAACGCAAATGCTCACACCATTATCATTTTATACAATGTTTAGAAATTTCTAGATTTTTTGTTAGTATTTAGAACTTTTAAATGTTAGTGTTGACAAAATATAAAGTAGTTTACCTTGAGGAGAAAATCACTGTAGAATGTTGGTGTACACTACTAGCATTTTGTAGAATTTTTTAGATTTTTCTAAAAAAAATTATTTTTCTTTAATTTGTCAGAATTTAGAATTTTTTTAAAACTAAGTATAGATTTTTTTAAGAATTTTCTTGAATTTTTTCAGATATTCTCGAATTTCCTGAGAATTTTTTCAGAACGCACGTGCACACAGAATCATTTTATACAATTTTTAGAGTTTTCTAGAATCTTTTAGATTTAGAACTTTTAAAAATTCTTTTAAAATTTAGTGTGCACAAAATTTGAAGTGGTTTATCCCGAAGAGAAAATCACTGTAGAATTTTGGTGTACACTACAGCATTTTGTAGAATTTTGTAATTTTTTTAGAATTATTTTATTAGAATTATCTAAATTTTTAGATATTTTAGAAATTTGTTTAGATTTTATAGATTTTTTAGAATTCTTTTCCAAACACACACGCACACTCATTTATACAATTTTTAGAATGTTCTAGAATTTTTTATCACGCTTTTTATAATTATTGGACTTTCGTAGTGTAGGCATGTATTTTTTTAAGTATATGCTATCTTTTTAGATTCAAATATACAGGGTGCTTCATTTTTAAAAAAATGAGGTCAGGTTCGAAAACTTTTTGAACTGAGCCCGTATACTTATTTTGAAAATCTTTTTTGGATCTATTTGAATCAATAGCGAATTTTTGAATTTCTTAGTGTTATATTTTTGAAGCATAATGCTATCGTTTTAGATGCACAGGGTGCTTCATTAAAAAAATGAGGTCGGGTCCGATAACTTCTTTAACTGACCCCGTATACTTACTATTTTGAAAATCTTTTTTGGATCTATTTGAATCAATAGCGATTTTGTAATTTCTTAGTGTTATATTTTTTAAGTATATGGTAACTTTTTGATTCAAATATACAGGGTGCTTCATTAAAAAAAATTAGGTCAGGTCCGATAACTTTTTAACTGACCTCGTATACTTATTTTGAAAAGCTTTTTTGGATATATTGTGTTTTTTGAAGTATATGCTATATTTTTAGATTCAAATATACAGCGTGCTTCATTAAAAAAATTATATACTTATATACTTATTTTGAAATTCCTTTTTGCATCTATTTGAATCAATAACGAATTTTTTTAATCTCTTAGCCTTATATTTTTGAAGTGTATGCTATCTTTTTAGATTCAAATATACAGGGTGCTTCATTAAAAAAAAGGTCAGGTCCGATAACTTTTTTAACTGACCTCGTATACTTATTTTGAAAATGTTTTTGGATCTATTGTGTTCTTTGAAAATATCTGGGCGCCATTTAACAAAATGAGGTTAGGTCCGATAACTTTTAACTGACCCCGTATACTTTTTTTTAAATTTCTTGGGTTTTATTTTTGTAGTATATGCTATCTTTTTAGATTGAAATATACGGAGTGCTTCATTAAAAAAATTACGTTAGTTCCGCTAACTTTTTAACTGACCCTGTATACTTATTTTGAAAATCCTTTTTGGATCTATTTGAATCAATACCGAATTTTTTTTAATCTCAGCGTTATATTTTTGAAGTATATGCTATCTTTTTAAATTCAAATATACAGGGTGCTTTATTAAAAAAATGAGGTTAGATCTGATAACTTTTTTAAATGACCCATATACTATTTTTCGAATTTTGAAAATCGTGTTTGGATTTATTTGAATCAATAGCGATTTTTTTTTAATATCTTAGTGTTATATTTTTGAAGTATATGTTATCTTTTTATATTCAAATATACAGGGTGCTTCATTAAAAAAATTACGTTAGTCCCGCTAACTTTTTAACTGACCCCGTATACTTATTTTGAAAATCCTTTTTGGATCTATTTGAATCAATAGCGAATTTTTGGAATTTCTTAGTGTTATATTTTTGAAGTATTATGCTCTCTTTTAAATTCAAAATACAGGGTGCTTCATTAAAAAAATGAGGTTAGGTCCGATAACTTTTTTAACTGACCCCGTATACTTATTTTGAAAATCGTTTTTGGATTAAAAAGTCTAAAATGATTCAAAGAATACAAAAAAATTTTTAATATTTTTAAAGAATTTTCAAATTTCGATTTTACTATTTTAAGTTGAACCTGAGGTGTGACCCAAAAAGACCACATAACGTCATTTTTTTTGCGGTCCAGTGAGAAAAAAAATTGCACATCGGGTTATCATGTTATCAAGATATTCAATAAGCCTTTATTTTAAAATCGAACGCCCTGTATATCTTCAGATATTTGGAAACAAAATGAAATTCTCTCCTAACTTTGGTTGAATTTGGCGTTATAATATAACGTTTTGGTAGATCATATTAGGTCTAAAAACGCATATAAAGGTCCACTCAAACCGAAACAGAATCTGTTCCTGAGATACAGGGTGAAAACGGAAAGTTTTACTTTTTGAGATGTCATCATGTTTTAGTACCCATTCAAGATAGAAAAAAGATAAACACTGCTTGTTTTAGATGTTTTTACGTAAAATTCACTCGAAAATTCAGTGGCGTAGTCAAAAAATTGTTTGGGCCACCGTTTGTGAGATTTTACCCAAAGTTGTTTAAATGCAAGATCCTGTAAACGTCATTTCTTGCATTATTTTTTCCGACTACATGAACCAAAAATTTAAAAAAACCTTATTTTTTTACGATTTTTAAATAAATTTAAATTGTTCATTGTATCCATGGCGAGAGTCATGGTAATACGACCAATCAATAAAAATGGCCGATTGTAGAAACATGTCAATGTCAATGTTCAATATTGATTCAAAAGGGTTGAAAAAAGACTAAAAAAAATCTTCATAATTTGTTTGAATTTTTGTTTGTTTTTGAATCTGT